ATGTAATTATTGTTAGAGAGCGGTGTTTTTTTCCAGTTTTATTTTGGGCCGGTCAAAAATTTTGCCCCCCCCCCCTCACGAAAACTGGAATGACACCAGTGACATTATACAGACATAAGGCGTTTAAAATATACAGATTTTGATATATTTTGTGTGTAATAAAGATAGTGTACGCGAGCAGCAAAGCGATTGGCTTCAAATATTATATGACTCAATTTGTCTTTATGATAATAATATTAGACCAGTGAAAGACGTATCGCACCTGTTGAATTCTAACGGGACTATACCGACGTTGGCATGACAATCTTATCATACTACGCGAAGGTACTCATTCATATTTGATATATTATAATACCGTTTAGGTTTATTAACATATATTATGACCCGCTAAAATCTCCCACCCTCTAATCTCTATTACATATCATTATAATATACGCGCGTGACCGCAGTCGCGAATGAAATCTAATTTGTTGTGATCATATTACTATCGTATTATATTATAATTTATAAGCTTATATACCTACCTACCCGTCTGTGTTTCGTCATGATTTTTTCGACCGTTTTCGAAACGCGATCCGCAAAAATCTCTTCGCTGCTGCACGGTAATCGGTATAATTAGTGGTGTAACCGATGGTGTCCGGATTCATGACACGCGCGTGTACCTACACATAATATATTATTATTATTATTATACACACGTAATTTATCCCACATGTTATCCGTCGGATGATCCGGATATTCCGATGACGTACGGGTTAATCATTTTATGTGACCCGAGACGAAAATATGTTTTGAATTTTGATTTTCGTAATTACCCATAATGCGCGTATAGTCAGTATACACTATACATATTACATATATTATATATATATATATAGGTAGGTACGCGATTATGCAGATGTTATGGTATACGATTTGAACGTATACTACCTACCATAATATTATAATAGTGCTGCCTTTCATACTTCTCGAAATATTAATCAGTGAGCCCTTTTTAATTTTGTGCTCATGCGCTGCGGGTCCGCTGCGGGTCCGCTGCGGTTATAATTATGGCTCGGAAATCTGAGTCTTATAAACAAGCCGATTTGGCACACGCGGGTTTCACATCGGTTATATTATAATATATTTATTGACATTATACATATAGTGATGGTAATGAAAGTAAAATGTATCTGCAATTTTATACTCAAGAGACAGCCCGCAGTTACTGCAATATAATAATTTAGTTAATGATTACGATTATTGTAGAGACGAGTAAATATAAATAATAATAACAATTATTGTAATATCTACGCGTATTAGTTCGTTGGCTTGAATTCTTGATCAAGTCCAAAAGTTGATATTTATTTTGACGATTACCATCGGTCAGTTAGGTCGAAGAACAGCCGCTTTCGAGTCCATATTACAGTTTCCGCCATTGCAGGATGACACCAAAACATTGGTCCTGTAGGTAACTACATGTATTATAGGCTATTTATGAATGGGCTTTGGTGGCTTTCTAGTTTCTAGGGCCCAAAAAAAAATCATCATTTATTTTACAATATCATAATCTATTTATTTTAAAACATTTCATTTAAGTTTGTTATAATAAATATAATATATATAATAATATGTAATTTATTACAAATTATAATCACAGGTATATAAGCGGTATATTATCTAGATCTCGTTCTTTAAATTAAGATTTAAATTACGTTACATTCACTGACTAATAATATTTTTAACAATTTAGTCACATAGAGATAATTAGTAGGTATCTATGTAATGATTGATATTTTCGACACCACAACACGCCCACCGCCACACCACAGTACTGCTTACCAATTAATACTTCCGCATTTTTTTTTTTTTTTTTTGTCTGCTTATATAATATCAAGACTAGATCATACCTATGGGTAACCTTGGGGCCAGTGGCGTAATTTCAGTTTTTATTAGACTAGGGAAATTATTCACTGCTTTTCCGACTCAGTACATATTATATTTTTGTTTTTTTGGATTTTTGTTTTTTTTTTGGATTTTACTAATAATTAATTTAATTTAAAATTGTGTTTCTTTTCATTTTTAAACTATTTTTCTCTCAACAATACATTTTGTAAGTATAACTCTACATTTATAAAAATGTATTTTACTGACCCTATTCACCCCGCATGGACAGTGTGATACATTTCACAGAGCAAAACCATTGAGTGACCCTATTCACTCCGTATTCAGGTACATTACGTTGGTTCTTTTTGTTAAATGAACTATTTCTCATAGGAAATACATTGAATATAAGCTAACATGTTTAAAATTTATTTTACTGACAATATTCACCCCATGGACAGTGTGAATACATTTTTAGAGAAAAATGATCCTGTGACCCTATTCACTCCATAATGAGTGTGAATAGGGTCACATTTTTAAAAAAAATCTATCAAAGTGAATGAGTTTTTTTATAATAAATAATATCGGGAGACATCTTAAATTTATTAGAAAAAAAAAATCGAATTTATCTTAAATGAATTTTCCAAAATATCTCGTTCAATAGAATTAACATTTCCAAACGATTCTGCTCTAAGATGACCCAGTCTGTTTTTAATTATTTTTAGCTTACTAAAGAACCTCTCACATTTTACTTGAATGTATTCATACACAGAGTATAAGTAACTGATAGTAAAAGAGTGAATATTAAAATAAAAATATACTATAATATTTTAATATTTCAAAGAATTGAGCAATTTATGGACATGATATATTAAACAATCTTAATTGTGATGGACATTGTATTTTTCAATTTGATTACATCCTGAAATAAATATGATTTATTAATTCAGAATGAATTATTTTTTTTAAAATACTGAGTGTAGGTAACAGTGAAGACCTGATGGATGAAATAACATTTGTTCTAATCAATAATTAAAAATAATTTATATAGACACTTGTACCTACTACATGTAAAATATAAAAAAAAATATTTTTTCTACCGAAAATTGAAAATATTCAAAATAGCCAATTCGTAAATCTAATTATAAGAACAACTTTGCTGGTAAAAACATTTATCTAGGTCAAGTTCATTAACTGCATCATCTTTAGCTAAATCAGCGAGTTGGTATGGCGAGAATGAGCTTTCGGCCATAATTTATTGTTGTGCATCTTTTATATGAAAGGATTGGAGCGAGACACTATGACGGAGACTAATGACAATGGACAAATAAGTATATTATAATAATTAAATCTAAAATAAATACCAAATTGTAGCTTTTTATTAATTATCGCACAATGGTAACAAGTAAATTTCTGATAATTTTGATAATTTTAAAATAATTAATTCTATATGTACAATATTGTTGGTAAATAATCGTCATTAACATTTTACCCATATTTAATCAACTCTTACAGAATTGTCAGACATTATTACACGTATAGCCGTATAGGTAGGTACTCGGTAAATCGTCTATGACCACGACAGTGGTTCTTAAAATTTTGGAATACATGGACCACTGACTTTCAAAAATCGAGGACCTCCTATACCAACTTTTTTCGAAAACCTATCTACCATTTTTACGAAATATCTCATATTATCATAATTAATATTTTAATACTTGTTTTATAATACAAATCAAATATCAAGTAGGTATACACGATACAAACATAATCTACATGGCTATATATTTTATAATTATTTTTCTTATACATAATTTTTCACAAAAAATGAAGTATTTTAATTTTAGATAGAACCGACGCGGACCACAGTTTAAGAACCAGTCTGGTCTAGGACGTCTTGTACAACACCGGAAAGAACATTTTCAAAACTCAAAATTATAAAAAACAGGTTGAGGACTACAATATCCCAAGAGCGCTTGGAAGACTTAATGGTCATATCATGCGAATCTGATATAAATATTGATAATAATCAGGTCATAAAATATTTTTCTGATTTTAGTGATGTTTTAAAAAAATATTTAATGTAAAATAAATATACATCCATAAGTTCTTTTGTAATTTGTATGTATTACAATGCTATTATATGCTTTGGTAGAGGTAAACATTTGAAGGTAAAAATGTAAAATGGATGCAATTAATAGGTGAACGTGTGGTTGGGTGGGTGGGTGGGTGGCTAATGATTAAACTATTTGAACCATATATCTCATAGGTGTTGTGCGCCACTGGACGTCTATATATATTATTATCTTCGGTGTTTTTTCAACAACATCGAAAACAGTAGTTTTTATTATTGTTTTAGACTCTTGGCCGGGCGATGAATTTATTGATTTTACAATGATGTATGCAATGTGCATAATATGGTGCATGACAATATTTTGCACTTATACTTTCAAGAGGCCAAAACGTTCAATAATATTATATTGAGGTTTGGTATCAAAAAAGTTGTTGATTGATATTCTTTATAGGCCCCACATGACCATGATCATGTTCATCAATCATTTTTTTGTTGTAATAAATAAAATCGTACCTACTGTTTTAATACAAAAAATATAAAAACAACATTTTACTGTATAAAAAAAATAATTTTATTACTGGATCATTTATAGATAATATAAAAATTTTAATATATAAATTATAGTAATAATAATTTATATAACAATTGTATTATATAAATTATAATAATAATTTGAATACAGTAATAAATAATATCAAGTATAAAAATAATATCATTTTAAACACCGCGGTTTATAATTATGAAAAAAAATAAACAAAAAACATTAGAGGTGTGAGATAAATAATAATTCAATAATATTATAAATTATATATAATTAACGAGTGCTTTAAAATTTTGCAAAATGTATGCCGAAAAATAATTAATAAGTAATACAAAGATAAATAAGAAAATTGCTCGCAATGTGGCAAAAAAACCAGAAACAATAATTAGATAGAACGCAGTTCTTATCCAGCGTTTGTCACGGATAGGTGTTATTTCGTTGTGCTCCGTTATCGCGATTTTATTTCATATGAGCCAGTGCATTGTTATCTTAGTTTTAAATTGAATTTAAACCTCGTAAAATATGCCCTCTACGTGCCTGAAATGCTATGCGGATTTAGCTCAAAATGATGATATACTTGAATGTTCGATATGTAAAGGTATTAATCATTATTACTGTGCGGGGTATACTGAACATAATTTTAAGAAAATGTCTAATAATACAAAAGCTAGATTCACCTGTGAAAACTGCCTAGTTATTAAACAAAATTCTCCAAAATCGAATAACCCTGATAGAAAAACAGGAGCAACCTTAGAAAATAATATTCAAGAACTTACAAGATCTGTATCATTTATGAGTAAGCAATTTGATAATTTTAATGTAAAACTTGATAACGTAATTTTGGAATTGAAAAATATTAAGATTGAAAATGAAAAGATTAAATCAGAGAACAACCGTTTATCTGAGGAAGTTGTTATATTAAAATCTAAAATCGATGAAATTGAACAATTTAATTTAGGTATAACAGTTGATATAACTGGAATACCAAAGACTATAAATGAAGATTGTAAGTTAATTGTTGAAGATATTGGTAAGAAAACGAATACGGAAATTAATATACTGGAAGCTTACAGAATTGATTCAATTATATCTAAACGTAGTATCATAGTCGCCAAATTAGCCACTCGTGACATGAGGAAAAATTTAATTCGTAATGTGAAGTCCGTCAAATTAACAACTGATAAAATATGTAACAGTTGGCAGAAAGAAAATATTTATATCAATGAACGTCTTACGAAATTAAAAAGAACTCTCTTCTATCAAGTGAAAACAGCTGCTAAAGAGAAAGGTTACAAATTTATCTGGTTGTCTGACGCAGATATTCTTGCGAGAAAAAATGAAAACACTAAAATTATTAAAATTAAGTCACCTCAAGACATCAATCATTTATAGTTGGTACTTATAAATTTAATTATTATGTTATTACTATTTAAACAATTTTTTTTCCTAATTTAATTATGAATTTTAACTTACATAAAATTGATCACCTCCTAAAACTAAATAATGTTAAATCTACTTATGTAGATTCCATAAATAATATCGTTTTGCATAAAGGTGATTTTTCCATCTTTCAAATAAATATTAGTAGTATTAGCGCTCATTTTAATGATCTAGCAATTTTATTAAGTTCAGCTGAAAGTTACTTTGATATTATCGTGTTATGTGAAACATGGCTTTTAAATGACTACCAATTTAAGTTAAATGGTTATAAAACTATTAATTCTTTAGGTATTTTTAACAAAAGTGATGGAGTTACAGTCTTAATTAGACAATCCATTAATGTATTACAAATTGAAAAGCAAATATTATTAAACTGTAATTCAATACAACTTATATTTCAAATAGACAAGTTAGTATTTTCAATTATTTGTATTTATAGATCTCCAAATGATAACTTGGAATTATTTCTTAAAAGCTTAGAATTAACTTTACCTCAAATTAATAAACGCTATAAAAATATTATTTGCGGAGACATAAATATTGATATAATGAGAAACTCTAATATTACCAATACATATTTAAATATTATGGCGAGTAATGGATTTTTGCCTTGCATTAATGATTGTACTAGAGTAACTAATCATTCAAAAACGTGCATTGATCATATTTTTGTTAGAAACATTGATTCTAATATAGTACTATCTAATATTTTAAGGTGTGATATAACTGACCATTATTCTACAATTTTAATTATATCCAATATTAATAATTATGAAAAAGTTACTCGTAACAATTTAATAGTAAATAAGATAGATATTAACCACTTAAATGTATTAATTAAAACTGAGAATTGGTATTCTTGTTTGAATTATGATAATGTAGATGATATGATAAAAGTTTTTAACTTTAAAATAAAAGAATTTATAAATTATTCAACTATTTTTAAATATAATATTAACAAATCAAAAACAAAGCGGAAACTCAAGGAATGGATTACTACAGGTATTGTAACCTCTATTAGGAATAGGGAGAAATTATATACTAAATTAAAATCTAGACCTTTTGACATTAAATTTAAGCAATACTACAATTTGTATAGAAACATGTTAAATAAACTTGTACGCTTATCTAAACAATTATATTATCAAAAAAGATTACAGCGCGCTCAATCAAATTCTAAACTAGTTTGGAATATAATAAATGAGGTCACTGGAAAACCGAACCAAATAGTTAACGGAATAAACAAGATAAGAACTAATAAATTTGATATTATTACAGATTCTAAAATTGATATCTGTAATGAATTTAATGATTTTTTCGTTAATGTAGGTAAAAACTTAGTTATAGAACATATTAGTACAAATATTTTACCGCCTCAAGATAAAACTGACATTGATGACAGTATTTTTCTAAAACAAATTGACAAAGACGAAATTATTAAGCTTCTTAGTAAAATTAAAAATAATAATTCTTACTTCGAAAATAATCTGACGAATTATGTACTCAAAAGTGTTTCAAAATCTATTGCTTTGCCTTTATCTATTATTTTTAATCATTCTTTATCAACGGGGAAGTACCCCACAACCTTTAAAAAATGTATTGTTATACCCTTATACAAAACAGGAGATAAATTCTCATGTGAAAATTACCGTCCTATATCATTATCATTAACTTTGTCAAAGATTTATGAAAAATGTATTAAAATCAGAGTACTTGATTACTTAGAAAAGAAATCATTTTTCTCAGTTTCACAATTTGGTTTTAGAACTGGTTTGTCTACAAACGATGCTCTTTTCCGGGTTGATAACTTTATTAGGAAAAATGTGGATAATAATTTTAAAGTAATGGGTATTTTTTTGGACGTACAAAAAGCATTCGATTGTGTAAATCACGAACTATTATTAAGAAAATTAGAAAATGCTGGAATACGAGGAGTTTCAAATAATCTTTTTAGATCTTTTTTGAGCGATAGAACACAAAGTGTTAAATGTAATGATATGTCAAGTAACTCTCTTAATGTATCTTGTGGAGTTCCACAAGGCACTGTATTAGGTCCTTTATTATTTGTTATTTTTATAAATGATTTATTAAAACTAAAAATTAATTCAAGTTCCGAAATACTAAGCTTCGCTGATGATACTGCTGTTTTATTGTCCGAACCATCAGTTGATATACTATTTACCGAAGCCAACAAATTATTAAATACTATTTACACTTGGTTTTGTAAAAATAAATTAAAATTGAATCTGATAAAATCAAAATATATTTGTTTTGAACTGCAAGCATCGAATTATTCAAATTGCTTGTTAAAAAATAACCTTATTGTTCATTCGTTAAAATGTAATTATCATCTTAGTTCAACTTGTACTTCTAAATGTAATATACTTGAAAAGGTAAATGAAATAAAATATCTTGGGATAATTGTTGACTTTAGATTTAAATGGGAAAGTCATATAAATTATATTAATAATACTTTACGTAAATTCTTCTACTTCTTTAAAGAAGCTAGATACTTACTTAATAATTATTATAAAAGAATGATTTTTCTTTCACTAGTTCAATCAATTTATTCCTATGGTATTTCTATTTGGGGAGGAGCCGCAAATAATGTTTTATCGAAACTTATAGTTACTATTAATGGAATTATAAAATTTTTACTTAATCTTCCCACGACAACTAGTACATCATTGATTTATAAGGAACTTAATGTAAAGCATTTAATATGCATTTACAAATCATCGGTTTTGGTCGATTTATATAAACATAAAAATTTAATTACATTGCTAGATCACGAGCACAATACGAGATATAAAAAAAATATTAATATACTGCTACCAAACCTGAATAAAGTATTTGGTCAACATAGTATATTGTACACGGGTTTGAAATTATGTCGTTCATTAAATATTAATAAATTATAAACAACTTTGAAAATGTGTTAATATTTAAAAATTATGTTAAACATTTAGACCTATCTACTATCTAGTTTGTAATAGTCAAAAGTTATAATAATACAACTATTTTTGTTTTTAACTTATTGTTATTTAATGTATGTTGTATTAACTGTTATTTTATTTTGTTTGTGATGTATTCATTTTAAATAATAAGAACCGCGCCCCCAGCACAAGCTTTGCTTATAGGGGTGCTGCAATATTTAAGTCATATTTTTTGTAATTAATGTATATATTCTGTTGTTGCAATAAACATTATTATTATTATTATTATTATTATTATAATAATATTAACAAGAAAATAAGGTGCTCAACGTGGCAAAAAAACAAGAATAATAATATTAACAAAAATTAAAATGTGCTTAATGTGGCAGAAAAGATTACAGCAAACAATAGTATGAACAAAAAATATTAAAGGTGCTCAAAGTGGCAGATTAAATTTCAATAAACATATTGATATTAACAAAAATTAAAAGGTGCTCAATTGTGGCAGAACAACTTACAATTAATTATAATTGTAAAAAAAAAGAAAAGACATCAGTCAAGACGAGGCGAGGTGGGGGGTACGTGATGGCGAGTTGGTGGCTCAGAAGATGGTCACCTCCACACTGTTCTTGCGGCCTGTCCTGCGGGGGGACGAGGGTCGCGGGCGCGTTTCCTCGAGGAAGCGAAGACGATCACGAAAGCGTGAAGGAACCCGACTACGACGGCTGCGAGAGCAACGATGACGGTTGACGACGATTGGGCTAGTGCACGATGACATCCGCTATAGATATTGTACTGCAGGTGCCGAAGACGGCTGTGGCGACGGCGAAGACGGTCACCAAAGAAGCTCGTCGGATCGAGCGACGAAGACGATAATATTATTATTATATGGTCCCTAGCCACCGTATAATAACAATAATTAAAGTCGTAAGTCACTCGCCCGACGTGTGCTCTGCGATTTCCGTCGACGCCGTCGCGAGTCGTCTTCGCTGCAGCAGTCGTACCATAAGTGGTATCACCGGTACAGCTAGCCAGCTCGTCGTGTCGCCGTCGTCGTCGCTCTCGGACCGAAGCAGCTGGGGCCCGCCACGCTTCCAGAGGGTCTCCGGACGTCCGCGATCCCTTGGCCCTGCCGCAGGCAGCCGGAGAACGTGTGTCGGTGACCTTCTGCCGATCACCCCGGAAGTGCAGTTTCACGTACCTCACATACCTCGATCCCCACATCGCTCCGCCTTGACTGCTGCCCTCGACCGAGGCGTCGGACGATTTTCAGCAACCCAGGCAAATCACTGCTCGTCCGGCCCGTTTCACTCCTCTCCACGCGGCGGCCGCCAATCGCCTGACCCGCCCGCGTGAAGAGACTGCCGCTTGTGTTGCCGGTGGTTCGTCGATCTCCGCCCCATCCTCGGTGGAAGCTTCTTCGTACAAGACGACCTCAAAGTCTCCACCGGTGGCCATCTTCTCCTCCTCCTCCTCCTTCTCTTCCTCTTCCTCCTCGCACCGCAGTACAACGTTTCCGTCTCCGGGCTGCACGTGCGGCGCGGCGGACAACTTTTCGGACACTAGGTGCACAATTGCATCGACCAACTGATCTACAATGGCGACCATCCGTCTGTCTCGGCATTCCTCTGAAACGGTGTCGGTTTCCAGTGTTGTATTTTGGTGTCCAAATTCCATTGCCATGATGTCTTTTAGAACCGAGTGGACGGTCGTCTCTATATTACTCGAGTCCGAAACCACTTCCGCTATCAGGTGTTCCATCACCTCCTCCACGACGGTGTCGGCGTTTTCAAATGCGTTTTCCATAATTTGTGGAACGTATAGTACAGCGCAGTTCTTTGTTTTTTTTGATTTTTTATGCGTATAAAACGCAAGGCGTATAAAAATTATTAGACAATAAGACAATATAAAAATAAAATCATAAGTTGATCATTGTATATATTATTTATGTGAAAATTACTATAATATTCGAGATGTTTCGTCGCGAAATATAAACTGATTCAAAATGTGTAATCGGTCGTACGCATAAACATCCAAACGAAAATCTCCATGACAACAAAATAATATTTTATTGTTTTCAAAATTGATAATATATTATACTGCCAATTTATTTCCAAAGACATTACATATTACTATGTACATTTCAACATTGTTCATGTGAACACGAATATACTTGTAAGTTGTACTGTTATGTTATAATTGGAATTATTACCTACCTACTTTTACAATATAACTTTATATACCTTAATAAAGCACATTTATTCCACGTCACAATAATTTGTTTCTTATCGCAAGAAATAATTTTCATCCAAATATTTGAGGATTTAAAATAATATCATTAGTTTACTCTATAATATAGAATTCAGACTTATAATTAATTTATTGACACTCGATCGAGACATCGAGTACCAGTCAGCTTGGAACATAGGCACGCAAGCCAATTTTCAAAATATTTAGATTCATTCCATGCTATTTGCATACCACAAACCTATTCACACCGTATTCACTATAAATTGACTATTTAGGTAATAATAACATCTATTAATATTGTATAAAATAATATTATGATTTATAATCTATATAAATAAATGTATATAAATGAATTGCTGTTCGTTAGTCTCGCTAAAACTCGAGAACGGCCTGATCGATTTGGCTAATTTTGGTCTTGAATTATTTGTGGAAGTCCAAAGAAGGTTTAAAATATGAATGAAATCAAAGTTTTATTATTTTTTTACATTTTCTATATATATAAAAATGGAGCGTGAAAATGTGTCATTACCTCATCAATCGAGAACGGCTGGTCCGATTTGGCTCCAATTTTTTTCCAGATGTTCGAAATTGCCTGGAGAAGGTTTTTACGAAAGACAATTTTAGGAAAATCTTTAATCGGGCATGTTTGTTAATTTGTATTATTATTTTTTGTCAATTTAATATATATATAAATTAATGTTTGTGTGTAGATAAGACCTCTGTTAAGAAGACAGGCTAATTTAAAAATGGTTAAATTTGGTTTTTTTTTATTCATCTGATATTAGTACGGTTAGGTTAGGTTAGGATTTTGTATTAATTGATTATATTAATCCACCACAGGTGGAATACAACAAACTTGGTATAACTTTGATAATTTAGAATTAAATCATACACTTAAGTACAAACAGCGATCATATATTGCTGTGAATCCCTAATTGTATTCCGGACAAAGGAAAAGTTAAGATTAATTTTTAACACCATACACCGAATATTATATAAAGAAATGGACAACGTTTGAGTCATACTATAGAGTTGGTACATTTAACAGGCAACGAAGTGCACGGAAGCAGCTAGTATAATACAGGGTGATATTTTTATCATTGAACACTCATTATTTCAAAAAGTATTAATGTTTAAGAAAATATTTTTTTACATAGTTTCAAGTTGTTAAAAAACAATATTTTTATTAAAAAATTATATTTTTAAATATTTTTTATCCTTTTAATTTTTTAATTTTTTTACTTTTTTGAATGACAACATGTAATTTTAATTTGATATTCAAAAACAGAATATTTTTCTGAGTATTTCGATACATAAAAATTGAATTTAGGGCAATTAGTTTATGAGTTATAAGTATTTAAAGTTTAGATGAGCGGAGTAGTGGACAAACATTTCGCGGGGTAACCCCGTACCACTCTACTCCGCTCATCTAAACTTTAAATACTTATAACTCATAAACTAATTGCCCTAAATTCAATTTTTATGTATCGAAATACTCAGAAAAATATTCTGTTTTTGAATATCAAATTAAAATTACATGTTGTCATTCAAAAAAGTAAAAAACTTAAAAAATTAAAAGGATAAAAAATATTTAAAAATATAATTTTTTAATAAAAATATTGTTTTTTAATAACTTGAAACTATGCAAAAAAAATATTTTCTTAAACATTAATACTTTTTGAAATAATGAGTGTTCAATGATAAAAGAATCACCCTGTATAATATAATAATTGTACATTTGTACCTATACTTGTATAATGTATCCCAACAATAAAAATAGCGAATAAGATTTAATTATAAATTATTTTTGGCTCGATGACGGAGCGCTAGAAATACTATGACTAATATTTTAATCCTTAGTCCTATAGGTACAGTAATTATATTATATTACTAGCTGAGGTTAGTCACCGATCTTAACCCGGGCTATAACTACGACATATTTTCAACTCAAATCAATGGATAAAAGAAAAACAATATTGGAAGAGATTCATCAATAAAAAAAGATTTAAAAATATTATGAAGATTTGAAGTAAGAAATCGATTATGACATTGAAATACGAGTAGATAAATACATAAATAGTAAATAATAATTGTATAGAACAACGATCTAAAAAAGCTGAAAAAAATTTTATAAATCAAGCATTTCATTAATTTTCTAATAGAAAATAATATTAAGAATGTCCTAGTATTATATTAGAGATTATACTTTTCTAGAATATATCTTGCATTTAAAGAGGAATTTCAAGAGTTTAATTGGACGTATTAAAGTATTCATCAGATTTACCATTTATTTTTAATGATTACTTCAAGGATATCTTATTGAAAATGTACTCTGCTGTAGCCTGTAGGAATTGTAGGATATTTCCACTCTTCAAAGTGAAATGTCATGCGACTTATGAGATGTGTAAAAGATTTTATTTGAAATGTCATGGAAATTACGAAAACTGTCTAGGATTTTATAGGAAAAGTAGTTTTTGGGTTTTCAATTATCATAGATTAAATAAGAGTTGTTAAGTATTTTATGATATATGTATGTTACTCTGTGAAATATCAATCCTCTAATGAAAGAGATATTTTCTAATATCAAATGTCATGTATTTTATGGGAAGTATTAAGATTTTTATTCAGAATATATATAAAATATTAAAATATATAATTTATCTCGTATCTAATTTAAAATTTCAAGAGTTTAATCAGAAGTAAGTTCTTGTACAAATATGAAAATGCAGCTAATTTGCTTAAATCTTAGATCATAACTTGTTGAGTTGTTTCTACTATAACTAAATTTCTTATAGTCAATTAATTTTAAAATGTATAGTAGGTTGTCAAAAGAGTATCATATCTTTGTTTCATATCTAAACTAATTAATTAATTAATATTTTAAACAAATTTAATAGTTTACAATAATTTTGATTTATCAATGTTATGAATTATTTTACATTTAAAAAATGCATCGTGTAGGTTGTATAATATAATAAGTTTTTTTTTAAAATAACAAATAAATAATTGTAGTTTTAAAAAATATCATTTGTTTAAGTTTTACAAACTGCAGGATCTGTAAAAAGTCGGTCCGTGTATGAATTATTGACAAATCCTTACCAAACCGTTGACGATGTGGAGATGATGACTATATAGCGTTATGACAGATGGAACGAGGAGCCTTTATAGTACAAAAGATAAGGTGAAGATCGTGGTGAGCCATAGGATGGATATTGGACACACTGCTCACAAAGGCATAGTATATACTATTATAATATGCATCTCTAAAACGGTTTTTTAAACTTTATATTATTACTAGCTGATCCCGTGCACTTCGTCGCCCGTTAAATGTATCAACTCAATATGACTCAAACTTTTTTTTTTATTTTTTATTTATAATGATTAACGCCAATCGGCTTTTATACAAAGTAATTACATACAAAATAATAACAAATTTAAATAATAATATTAAATAGTAAGAGATAATAACAGTATTAAATATAGTAAGACAGCAAAAACCAATAATATGGTGAAACAAAAATAAAGGGCCCAGGCACGAAATTGTCACAAATTATATAAATTGTATACACGCATACAAACTTTGTTCAATTCGTTATTCAATATTCGGTGTATGGTGTTCAGAATTTATCTTATCTTTTCCGTTGCCCGGAATAAAAATTCTGAATCACAGCAGTACATTATCAGGTAGGCAATCTACCTGCGGTTGATCGCGGACACCGTGCTGTTTGTACGGAAGTGTATGATTTAACTCTAAAGTATTAAAGTTATACCAAGTTTTTCGTTTTTACTCAATTCCGCCTACTGTTGATTAAAATAATCAATTTATTTAATCTCATTAAATATAATTTATATTTGAAAATAAAATAAAATAATTTTTTTTTTTTATCATTATTATTAGGTATTTATATAACCATGGTAACCATTTACAAACAACAATTTCCATCTGAAATCTCAAAATTCCCGTTTGAGCACCTCCCGGGGTTGGTCCTCTCCCTTTTTAAATTAGCCTATGTTTTAAGTTGGATCAAAATACACACAGTGTAACAATTTCATCAAGATCGGTCCAGTTATTTTTAAGTGAAAGAGTAACAAAGTCACAAACTTTCGCGTTTATAATATTAATTATTAACTAACATTATCGAACTTTATTTATGCCTAAAACCTGCTCCGCGATATCCTCTTTCATTTAAAAAAAACTGCATGACAATTTCGAAAGTTTCGAAACCAAACCGTAACAAAGATTTCCTCTTTTGCTTGATTTCAGTTTTATATATATATAGATTGATTATCATTTAAACATGATGAAAAATACCAATCGAGCTATATACCTGCAGCACTGGGCCGGCAGTAGGTAACTGCCTTATCAAAATATATTGTTTTACTTAATTTTATAATTATTTCGTCAGTGGCGTAGAAAGACTCGTTAGCGCCCCTGGCAAACCTAGGAAAATGCGCCTTTTTAGCGATTAAAAAATTGACGAAAATACGGAATGATATTTTTTAACATTTATTTTTTATATATATAATTAGGTTATACAATATTATTTAACTATCAG